ATTTTCATAGATCAGGTGTAAAATCTGTATGGGGGGCCCCTCATATACAGTATCATACAAAAAACTCCCAATAGATTCAGCCTGCAAAACAGTTAAAGGTCATCCAGCATTGGGGTTACTTTATTGGAAATGGAGCAATTCTACACTGAAGCTACTGCAATATCCACCATCAGACTACCGCTTTTTTTAAAAACATGAATTACAAGAATAAAGAGGTGGCATTTGGTCAATAGAAAGGGAACCTATATATTCAAAAAGCGCTATCCTATAGGAAATATCTAGTGGCCATATGTGTTTCATTTAGATTTTTGGAGATTTGTATGTATACGAATCCCTGAATGGACATAATATCAAATACTAACAAAACTAAAATAATGAATGCATTTGTTTCATCCGGATGACATTACATGATGCAATAGTAGTTCAGGCCCATGGGGAGTTCTATTTTCAAATTTGTTCTATAATTTGGATAACAATGGATACAAATTTTGTTCTATTCTTTCATTCGGATACGCATGATGGCAGTTGATATTGTGCAATCAACTCATGCCATTTCTCTTGGTAGGTTGGACCAGCATCTGAAAATATCGAATATAAGCAATCCTCTGGAAAAACTGCAAAAATGTTTTAATCCACCTGGACCAACGAATATACAGAATGAATGCCGAAGATATCAAACAAATCTAGAAACTGAATTGGGTCAATATAATGAATATACCAAACCTAATTATCAATCAGCGCAGCCACTACAAGATTACCCCTTACAGCACAAAAATTATCAAACATATAAATATAAGATTGCATATGAATCAGATGTTACGCAACCCTCAAACATTCACTGTAAAATAATAATAGAGTCCAAAACATAAAGTCCAAAGTAGTAAGATCGTCCACCGAATTAGCCATGTGTCCCAATATCTTCATGCACCAATATCTTCTATAACTGATCACCAGTGCTACCCATGCACACACTTCCCATAAACAATATATGCTCACCTCCAGACTAGACCCTGATGGTCACATGATTGTGCCCCCTTCACAGGCTGCAAACAGAATGGCTCCAGAGTCACTCCACCACAGATGGCTCCCACTGTTCCAAGGATCCTCCACTCACACAAGAAGCAATATTGAAAGAAGAATAGGGACTGATAGTGCTCTCCATACAGTAAAAACATTTATTCAATATTTAAAATGACTCTCACAAGTCAGTGTACACACAGTGCTTTGTACAGTGCATACAGCATGTTTAATCAGCAATTCATATGCAATCTTATGTTTATATGTTTGATGATTTTTGTGGTGTAAGGGGTAATCACGTAGTAGCTGCGCAGACTGATAATTAGGTTTAGTGTATACATTATTTCACAGCAATTTAGCACCAGCCATGGAAGTTTTATATTTTTTTGAACAAGGAGTAGGAGTGGAGTGGGGTCAGTTGGCAGCCATCTTGATGTCAGCAGTGGAGGTGGTGAGACAGAGAGCTGCATGTGTATGCACTGTATATAGCACTATGTGTGCACTGACTTGTGAATTTCATTTTGAATACTGAAAAAAAGGTTTTAATGTACAGACAGCACTATCAGTCTCTATTCTTCTTTCATGAATGAAATAACACTTCTTATGTGAGTGGAGGATTCTTGGAACAGTGGGAGTCATCTGTGGTGGAATGAATCTGGAGCCATCCTGTTTGCAGCCTGTGAAGGGGGCACAAGCGCTTGTGACCCTTGACTAGCCATCAGGGTCTAGTCTGGAGGTAAGCATATATTGTTCATGGGAGGTGTATACATAAGAAGCATTGGTAATCAGTTATAGAAAATATTGGTGCATGGAGATATTGGGACGGGTGGATAATTTGGTGGAAGACTTTGCAACATAACAAATATTACAAAACAAAATTCTTCAATGAACGAATGCGAAACAAAACTTTCTGGAGTGCACATGTCTAATACCCAGAAAAGTTTATCATGGTAAAGGAGTAGAACCCTGAATAAAATCAACTGTTTTCCTTCATTTCTTTCTCAGATGTAGTAGTGCACTTCCTCACTTGTGACTTTGCCTAGCTTCTCCTGTTCTGTAGCCTGGGGGATCATCTAAAGCAGGGGTTGGCAACCTTAAAGAGATCTACCTGAACAACACAGCAGAAGTCAAAGATCATTGTGCAGAGTGTGCCTCCTCAAACTCCTTAACTGTCTAATTGTTGTACTAATGTGTTGTAATTACCTGCATGGCACGGCAATCATGAGTTTAAATCAGGTGGTGAGGAGGCAACATATCGCCTCATCACCACCTGTCAAACACACTCAGATCACTTTTCAGAAGAGCAGCACTTGTGAATAAGCCCTTAGTTGCATTCAGCAGTGGCACCCTTAGGGCTCGTTCACACATAAAGTTGGGGGGGAGGTAAAACCCTGCGGTTTAATTGCTGTTTTACTGCCCCCCCTCCCCCCGCTAACGGCTTTAACCCCTTGTTTGCTGCACTGCAGAAGGTTGCAGGGCACTGGCAGAGCGGCCTCATTCACTTGAATGGATCATGCTTGGCAGGTGCTACGCCTACCAACCATGACAAGGCGTATATCTCCTACTGCGGCTGTGACATGTGTACACCCCTGGCCATTGCAGCAAAAGGGGGTGCGATTGGGTCAGGGATGGTAAAACACATATTAACTATGGGCTTTTACCACCCCACAAACTGCAAATGTAAATTAACCCTTACTGTTCTGAGCCCCCTATAAGGCCACTTTCACACTGATGTGCTGCAGTTTACCTGCACCATAGGTGCAGCGCAGTGCATCTGCGATTTTCCTGGGTTAGCTGCACTTTGCCATAGACTGTTTTTTCCTGCAGGTGTAGTGCACTTTGTGAAAGCGCACTAAAACACCCTCATTCAGGAGTTTTGGTACACTTTCACAAAGTGCACTAAACTCGCAGAATGTAAAAGTCTATGGCTAAGCACAGCAAAACTGCAGGAAAGCTGCAGATTCACTGCACTGCACCCATGGTGTGGGAAAATCCCAGCAGCGCATCAGTGTGAGAGCAGCCCTATACTATTATGCTCAGTGTATTGCTTCACACTGACCTGAAGATCTCTTCTTTCCTGCTGCTGGTGCCACTCTGGAGACCACTAGCCGGGATACGGAGTGGAGTGCAGTTGCTATCATTCCGCATGGGACAGGAGCCAGCACTACAGAGGGGGCATCGGCTTGTGTGGCTCTTGCTCCCTACTACAGCTCCAACTTTACAAGTAGTCCCTCTGCATTGCACTTTGATGCTTTGGGATGGCTGGTCAGCAAGCCCAGACCGCAATCTACCAGTCACCTGGCCACTACAGGTTGCTGGCCCCTGATCTAAAGCATGACCTGCAAACTACTTGCCCTGATGACTGCTATTCTCATGAGGTTTGAAGCAAAATTTCACAATTTCTCTACTGTCCTGCTCATTGTTGCTCTTCTTCAGGTCTGCTGCAGAGGAAATGGTACCTGCTTTGGAAGGATCCACTTTTTTCTGCCTCATTTTTTCTGTGGAACTGTGCTTCACCGGACTCTCCTGTTCCTGCTTGAGCATTGCTCCACCAGTCATCGTATCATCAGGCATTAGAGAGCAGCTCTGTCACACACTGCTCCTCTACCAAGATGGCCACCTCCACCCATACACAGCAGGGGCAATTGACAGAGAAATGGATGTAACAGTGAAACAGTGATTATTTAGTGAAGAATGTAATCCTTGCACACTTTTGGATAGGAGATTGAAGTTCGGGTTGGTCATGTTGGTCTCCTGAAGGCCTAGAAGTAGCTCTTTGCTCTGTAGTTTCTTTTCGGTTTTATCAATCTACAGTTGTTTGAGGCTACAGTAGTTGTGGCTATTGTAGTCTCTTAAACTTAACATCTACAGTGAAATTTGTGAAAAGATTGTTTAGTAATCTCAAAGAATCACATAGTTGCTATAGGAGTGTTTGTGGCTGAATTGCAAAAGAATATAAAAGTATATATAAAGGTATCCAGAGGACATTTCAGTGCTGTTCCTTGTTGGTAAAGAAAGGATGGCTAATTTTTCCCTGCTGCCAATCCTATGGATGGAATGACCTTCAGGTGGGAGCATTTCAGTTTACCAGAAACAGGAACAAAAGACATTTTGTACCATGTTACTTTATAATATTAGCTTAAATGATTTGCACGCAGCAACAGCAAGCTAACATCTACTATTCAAATATATTGGTTCTCACATGGCACTTCTGAAAGTGTGTTGCAATACTAGATTTTACCATCAGATTTTTTATACTAGGCAGAGGATTTAATATTGCAATCATATCTATATATGCATATGAATAAAATGTGAGTTGTGTGTGGAAGAACAATTTTAAAGGTCTGATCTATAAAACAGGTACGTTATGCAGCGTAACCAAATTGCATCAAAAACTAGGGTTTACCTAATGGAAATGTAGTAACTACAGAGAAAAGTTGCAGCCCATAACCTCCAATTGAATGATTTCCCCAAGTTCTCTTTCCTCCAGTATTTTAGGACTATGATGGCAGTATCTTCCTGGAATTTGCATGTTCTCCCTGTGCCTACCTGGGTTTCCTTCAAGTACTCTGGTTTACTTCCACACTCCAAAGACTGGTAGGGTAACTGGCTTCTGTTGAAATTAGCCCTAGTATGTGTATGAATGTACGCCTGTATGAATGTGAGCTAGGGATCTTAGATTGTAAACTCCTTGAGGGTTAGGGACTGATGTGAATGTACAATATACATAAAGCACTGCGTAAATTGATGGCATGACATAAGTACCTGTAATAAATAAATAAATAAAATCTAAAGTATAATACCACTATTCATTTCTCAGACAAATTCCATACTGTAAACCAGTATTGGAAGTGATGAAAGTGATGCATTTGGTACTGAACAATGCCTTTGTTATCCTAAGTCTGTCTACGATTTAAAGCTTTTCCTGTGCCACTTAAAACATTTTTTGTGATGACCTACTAATTTAAGAGCTCTTCACTTACCATCAGTCAGTGTTTGGAAGCACATTTTTCCACTGTACTTTCCATAACCCGCCACTGTGCGCGCCCTGACCTGTACCACATACACCACACCAGGCTTCAGTCCTTCTATGCTGGCAGTGTTGGTTTGGCTTCTTGATATAGAAGAGTTAAACTCATTTTGATCCTGTTAGTAAGAAAATGTAGAGAAGTACATAAATATACCGTTAAATAAAAAATTTAAATAAAACATGAACAGAAAATAAAAAAGCAATAAACTATCTTGAAAGAAGAGCAGGAGTAGGAACCATTACATTTTGATGTAATTTTTAGTATAACACTTTCAAAACTTGAAAACAATACTGGTTCCCTTTTTGGTTTAAAATGCTTACCACATATTTCATCTGCTAGTCTGTAACAATTATTCTAAAAACAAAGGTATATTTACCTGAAGTGTAACTACTTTGCCCCCACCAATATGTTATTCTGTGCAAAGACCTGCTTTCCTGTTGTCTTAGAACGCAGCAGAAGCAACAACTCAAATAATTTGATGTCTTGCTGCTGGCTACATGGTGAAACATTAAACTTTGTGAGGCTGACTTGTGCCAAAAACTAAATTAATACACAGTAATGAATCACAATCTCAACAAAGGCCTATTGCCTAAATTTCTGATAGGAGGATTGTTTACTTGCACAGGTTATAGCTATGTTTCAGATGGCTTCCAATCAAGAATGTTTATAATATTTAGCAGGAGATAATGTGAAATCACGAAAAGTGAGCTAAGGTTTCTATATCTGTAAAAGCAGTCTATAGGCTGCTGCTAATGCATTTTTTTCTTAGTACGGTAACAAGAATGTCTCAGTAAATGAGACTTAATTTGCTTGATCTGCTATTACAAGCAGTTTTCCTTCCTTCCTTCCTGCTTCTAGTATTCTATCTGCAAAAAGGTCCCTTGTTATTTATGCAGAGTGGGGTAAAGCCGGAAATTTCTCAGTTGGATATGCTTTGCTTTAGGAAGGTTATTTTTCTGTTTAAAAGAACCTGAAGGAGGAGAAGGGGTATGTTTACTTAAGGAAGTATTAATACTAAGGTTGGGTTTATTGGGTGTGTTAGTGATACAATTAGGGTTACAGGAAGAATTAGGGTTGATGTTACAGAAACTGGTAAAGGTTGGGGTTAGAGGCAGGGTTATTTTGAAGGTATCCCTAGGCTAGGGCATCACTCCCTACACAGGCAGCTCAGTCAACATTTATAGGACCTTAGGACATCCTTTGGTAAGAACTGTTAGACAGCATCTTTAAGAAAGGCCTGTTAGCTCAAGGGCATATTTAGGAAAAGACTATTAAATTAAATCTTTAAAAAACTTTAAAAAATTCTACGGAAAGGTGGCATCCTGAACAATCTGTAAGTTAGAGAGCATCTTTGGGTAATGTCTGTTAAATAGAAGGCATCCTTAGGAAAGATCTGTTAGTTAAAGGGCATCCTTAGCTAAGGTCTGTTAGTGGGCATTCTCAGGAAAGGGTAAGAGAGAATTCTTAGAAAAGGTCTGTTAGAAGATATACTTAGGAAAGGTCTGTCAGTTAAAGGGCATTCTTAGATAAGGTCTGTTAGACAAGGTCCTCAGGAAAGATCTGTTAGTAGGAGAGCATCATTAGAAGAGGTCTTTTAAAGGGCGAGTTTAGGAAAGGCTTGTCAGATAGAGGGCATCCTCTTTTAGAAGGCATCTTTTCTACAAAGTGTATAAATTGGAAGGCATGGTTAGAGAGCATCCTAAGGAAAGCTCTGTTAGTTAGAGGGCATATTTTAAAAAGGTCTGTAAGTTATAAAGCATCCTAAGGAAAGGTCTGTTAGTTATACGGTCAGGTCTGTTAGAGTGCATCTTTAGGAAATGTTTACTAGTTAGATTACATCTTTATTAAAAGTCTGTTAGTTAAAGAGAATTTTGTGGAAAGGTATGATAGAGAGAATCCTCAAGGAAGGTCTATTTGTTAGAGGGAACTCTTACGTGATGTCTGCTAAAGGGCATTCTGAGGTACACATCTTAAAAAAGTGATGTAATGTTACCTAATATTTACTAATGGCAATACTATCTTACAATAACACTGCCTGGGTTTTTGAATAGAAAAGTTGCTTTCAATCAATAAAACCACTAGTTTATTAATTTAAAATGAGCTGAAATGTACACCACTATTTCACTCATTTAGGCTATTCAAGTAAGCTTAACGATGATTACTACACTAGCAGAGCAGAAAAATGCGTTCTAATCACCAGTATTGTTCTTTTAGTCAAATACACAGAAATCAATGTATTGTCTGAAAGCCAGAGAGATCAATAAATGACACATTGATCACCATGTATCAGCCTTACTAAGAATGAAACCAGGAACATAACTCAAGTAAGGTAAAAGAGATCACTAGGCTTTTCTACATATAAATGCTGGGCAGCTTTGAAGACACTATGGGGGTCAAAAAGTGTCTAATTTTCAAAAGGACAAGCTATTAACTAGCAAAGACAAGCAAGGGATTATTTGTGATAAGAGTGTGACAATGACAAGTGAGATTCTAGATATTGGAAAACCTTTATGAATGATTTAAAGTAGAACTAAAGGCAAAACTTTTTTTTTCAGTTTGGATAGAGTAATGGAGGATTATAACCCCTGGCTGTTTTTTTGTTGCCATGTGTGTCCCATTGGGGATATTTCCTTTCACTTCCTGTCCCTTAGCCATAACAAGATGTGAGAGGAAATCCCTCCAAAATTAGGGAATCTATAGTTGTCAACAGGGTCAGCAGAACTAATACCCCATTGCAAGATTTCCCCTCTATTACTGTTCTGGGGACAACCTAAAATTTTGGATTTGTTTTTACTTTCACTGTTGATGAAAACTGTAAACAAGAGAAATAGAGAAGGTGAAGGTCTCCCTAATGGGGCACAGATATCAATTAAACCTTAAAAGGTGTTCTGATCCCTCTTCGCTCTATCCAAAATGAAAAAAAAAGTTTTGCCATTAGTGCTACTTAAAGGGCCATTCCCCCCCAATATGGATATATCAGTTTTTTATTAGTGGATTATTTGCTGATTTCTCTTCTAACCTCTTTAACTTCTGGAGAATCCAATGGTCTTTTTCTTATTTCCAGCATGAGAAGTGAGCATTTCTTACCTTGATGCATAGAACGTATTAAGGTAAAAAAAACATTTAGGCTTTAGAACCACTTTAAGCACAAAAACCCACCACCTCCATGCAGCAGCCTTCCAGTTTTCTAATCTAATGCAAACAGACAGCAGGTGCACAGTAAGAGGGAAAAGCAGACTGCTAAGATCTGACTTGAATGACTTCACTGCAACTATTCTAAGCATTAAGAATGAACTACTCCATAATCTGTGCATCTACATTGGTCATTGAGGGTTTTATTCAAAGCTTATTTACTTCTCTGCAGCTTCATTGGTTAGTGAGGGTTTTATTTAAAGCTTATTTACTTCTTGTTAAGAATATATTAATATTTGAACATCCATATTCTGTTCACAGTTCTACTTCAAGTATTGTTATTTTTTACATAATAAAGTAAATATTGCATTCTCTCCATGTGTGCCAAAATAAAAAAGTTACTTGAATGGGCCAAAAAAGTTACCATGGGCCTTGTAGGTAAGGACATTTTGCTGCAGTACTCAGTATTTATTATTAACAGATAATGTGGCCACTTCGATCGTAGCTTGTTCCATGTATTATGTAACTGAGTTGAAGAAAAACTGATCCCAATAACTGGGTTGGCCAAATTCTCTTCATTGTAAAACTCTCTAGTGAAACCAGACAGAAAGATTTTTTTCATTATTATACTCCCGGCAATCAACTAGATTGTCCAGTCTGTGGGTGACTACAAACTACAAGTCTCTGTGTGATTCAATATTTTCTGGTTACCTCTTCTGAAAGCACATGAGCTGTAAGTCAGCTGCATAGAATTTCTCATTGGTTCCTGACTTATCACATCTTCTTGCTCACTTAATAGGCTATCTATCATGTTATAAGCTCTGGCAGCAGCAGCCAAGTTTCACATTATTGAGTCAGTAAAGACTGTACACTTTATGGCACTCTAATGCAAGCAACTTTTATATTAATTATAGCTCTGAAAGGGTGTTAATGGATTGATGCTGCTCACTAGCAATTCTGCTACCATTAATTTATAAAGACCGTTGCCACTATGGAAAGAAGAGTTGTCATTCAACCACAAATCTTATATTTATTATGAACTATGTTGATGTTACCTTCTCATAATACCGGATTTCATAGTCCAAGATAATTCCGTTGGGTTGCTCTGGTTGGGGCCAAGATATGGTGATACTCTTCATTGTAGCTCTGACCTGGTGCATGATGGGAACAGTGGAAGGAGCTGGTGGGAAATGAGCAAAAATTGTTACTGCATAAGTGCCATAGATGGTTAATCCAGCCAGGACATACAAGAGATTCTGTAAACAGGAATAACATTTTAGTTGTTTGACTGGTTATAAAAATATAGCAATGACTGGTTGTTCTTGCTATAGTTTAGTAGGGAGCTGGCAATACACTTGGAAATGTAATCAATCTTTCAATTTAATGTTTAATTTTAATCAGAAAGCAATTGAATATATAAAAGGCATCTGGAATCAAAGGGAGATGTAATCAAATATACCCTAGATAAAACAGATCAATTTATATGAAATGGCTGTTGTTTCATTCAATCATGTTTCTATTTCAATTTTCCATCTTTATTAAAGCTGTCCATTTAAATCCCAATTTTGACTTCACAACTGGACCAAATTCTGGGTGAACGATCAAGCTTGTGGATGGTAGATTGCTTAGGTTTTGGTGGTTACTTTAGATTTTATTTGTTATTTTCAGTGCATCAAAAATGGCTGAAATTGAAGAAAAATGGTCATGTACTTGGTCAGCTTTAAGGGTCACAAACAAGCCTTAAAAAGTTTTCAACAGTGGTCTGCAAGTGGCATCATGTTTAGCTGTGCATATGATAAAACTATTTATTTTTTAATGCAGTTAACAAAAATCCAATACTTTGCTGAATTCTAGACTCCATGTGTGGTGGTTCCTGGTACAAAAAGGAAGCCTTGTAAAGCTGATCATTTCCAATAGAAGACAAGCACATTTTTCTTCAGGGGGCTCTTTATTTATACAGTAAAGATGAGATTACAGGGCCAGAGGCCATTATGCAAAGTTCAGCTTCCTCCTCTTCAGACCTCCCTCTTAGAATTTCCTGCATTCTACAATACTAGAAACATGCTTGAAGTCACTGTCAACTGCTGTAACAACGTACAAAGAAATAAGAATGGCAGGAACGAAGAAACCAATTAGATTTCACGCTTCAGCAGTTTAATCTAATGACCGTAATATTTTTTTATTGGTTCGTATGAGTTACAGTACAGTACTCCTCTTTATATAGAACATATAACCCAAATGATGGAAAATTTCCCCACAACATCAGTTCTAGGCAGCAAGTAAAACCCACCAGTGTTCTGCAAATGCATTATAGGAATCAGACTGCAGCCAAAATAAACTCAATGTACCTTTAAAAATGAGCACCAGGGAAACAGCTAAACACACACATAAAATAAATGTAAGTTAGCTGTTCTAACCTTCCAAAGGATTTTTTTTTCCATCCAGTCCTGAGAATTACACGTGCTGTACCACACAGCACAACTAGCTCGGTGATTGGGTTTTTTATGGTTGCTGTTAAGTAAAAAAAGCTAGATCTCCTGCCTGTCCCAACCTGTGACTGGACAATGCAGGAATAGAATCAGACTGATGAAATCATCTTCCTGTCCTCCCTCCTTGCAGGACTAATTGGCCTCCAGTACTGCCCCTCCTCTGACAGTCAAGTGCTCTTTTACATGGATCACAAGAGGCCAATATCATGTTAAATCTCACTAAATACTGTATACAATTTTTATAAATACAGAGCTGCAATAAATTATGTTTTTTTTCTTGTAGCTTAGCATTAATAATTTAAATTTCAAATGATCACTTGCAGCTACACTAAACTGACTTCCTAAGGCAGCCATACATGAAAATTTGGCCAGTTCAGCAGGGACCAGCCGAATTTCAATCCATGTATGGTCAGGGAGGTTTTACAGGAGTTGTTCTAACAACTGACTTCTGTACAACCAGCTTGTCGGGTGTTTCCTGAATGATCAGTGTTACTGGCTATAGCCGGCAACACTGATCAGGTGTTATGATGGTGGGGAAGTTTCCCCGCTGGCAGAGTAAAGTAGCACATCTCATATGGATCTTTTTTTTTTTAATTTTTTGAATGAAAAAAAAAAAGATTAATATATGGCCAGCTTTACACTGTTTATGTGTGGGACCTCAGTCTATTGTCAAAGGTTTCTGTGCAGTCTTTGTTCATAATTTGTGTGGTTGAGGCTGCAGGACGAAGCCAATAGGGCATTGAATTGTCCCAAAGTATTAGGGTCATGTATAAGATAAAGATATAGTTTAAAGGGCAGCTAGGTCTCTTTATGAAAGCTATGATACAAACCTAATGCACATGGCAACTACCCCTCTGAAACAATATAAGTGCAGGCTCTATGCAGGCACTGCCATTTTAAGAAAAGAAAGTAAAAGTGTTTATTGGTTACACTTATTTCTTTCAATAATTCCTTGGTTTTTAACCACATTCTGATTTTTAATTAGACTAGACCTGTTGTAACTCAGAGAACCCAATCAAATGTCCACTTTTATCACTAATGCTGATTGGGAAGCTGTTATCCGCTCGAGATGGCTACATATGATGCTCATTTGTCATGCAAAGCCAAAGAAGTCTCCTTCACAAATATTGCTGTATGTTTTGCTTTTCACGTGGAGGAGACAGATGTAAACGTACAGTATTCATTGTGGAAAAGCCATACGTTACGGAGTTCTCTACGAAATAGCCATAGTATACATTGCATGACATGAAGTCTGAATAATCTTATGGAATGAAGGTCTAATCAATGTAGTCTGGGCCTCCCTCCCTCTCACTCTTCCCAGAATAATGCTTCATTTTGGAGGTCAGCTCTGTTTACCTCCCCTACACGAGGTCCCTCTGTTGAGTGCACGCAGGAGGCAGAAAGCCGTCGCTTCTTCTGTTTACCCAGCTCTCCTCTAATCCGCCTTTTTTGTTTTCTATTCCCATCCTTTTGGAGAAGGATGTTAATTTCCTGAAATTAAGCACTTAACTTGATTGCTGTTTTGTTAATTGCAGGCTTCATAGCTATGGCACTGTTGCGTGGTTAGCATGGATAATGCAGCGAGGATCCGGGAAGCTCCAACAACAAGATCACTGCTTGGTACAGCTCATTATCCCATAAACCTGAGTACTAAACATCTCAGCCAGAATACCTGGACACAGTTTCTGATACTTAGAGAAAATTTGTCAGTACAGAAGATAGCTGTGTGATTAGGCTCCGATAAAAGCACCAATGACTTATTTGCAGCATACTAGTTCTAAGGAAGTAAAGCAATCACTGAGTCAGCACACTGGATCTAATATGCAAAATGAGTCAGGGAATGGCTGTTTTACAAAGTTTGTTTAATTTTTTGTTTTACAGTTTTAATCAGGCAGAAGTTAGCTAACCAGTTGATTAAACCACAATGAACGGTATGTTTTATGCAAGCATGAAACTGACACTAAGGAAATTCATAGCCAATGCAACTTTGTTTCCTTGCACCACAGATTGTAGGAAAGAAAATAGCTCGATTTGCCATCAACACAGTCAGTGTAGATGGGGGAATCCCTCTAAATTGTGTTCTGCTGGTGAGGAGCCTTCCCTGCAGGTAGAACACAGTGAGAACTGCATTGGATTCTCCAGGAAACAGACTTGAGTACAGTCAGTCTGTCTATAGATGGACCGAATCTGCTACAACGGGCAAGGTTTGATCCATCTATGGCCGACTTAATGCAAATAGATGACTAGGAGCAAAGTGTTTTTTACCTACTGGTGTGGGTCATGTTGAAGAGTCTGATATAAACATAGTGTTAAATGTACTGGGTATTTTTATTTACTTATCACTATAATTAGTTTTTTTTTTTCTATATAACAACACATAACTATTTCAAGTGACTTTTGCAGATTTTCTTGGAACATTTTTCAGGCTGTTGGTTTACAATCTTACAGTCTAATCTTGCAGTGTGGGAGATGTAAGATGAGGTTACAAGGAGCTGACATTGCGATCTGAGCTGAAGACTCCAGCAAGTCTCTCAGTCTCACTGTTATAAACTCAGTTCATATAACCAACAGGATCCTCGTTTTCCAAACCTCTCTTTCACTAATCAACACATGAATTGTGTGCAGGAAAACTTTCCCTGCAAACACAAGACAAAGTGGCATTGGTGACACAGTATGAATGAGTAAAGAAATTCTGCCACAGACTACTCCGAACTAATGTCTATTCTCCATTAAATAGTGTAATTCCTCTATCACACAGTTTACGTTCTCCACCAGACAGCCTAATTCCCCAACCACACAGCCTAACTCCTTCACCACACAGCCCAATTCCTCCACCACACAGCCTAACTTCTCCACCACACATCTCAATTCCTCCATCACGCAGCTTATTTTCTCCATCAGACAGCCTAACTTCTTCACCACACTGCCCAATTCCTCCACCACACAGCGTAACTTCTCCACCACACATCTCAATTCCTCCATCACACAGCTTATGTTCTCCACCAGACAGCCTAACTTCTTCACCACACTGCCCAATTCCTCCACCACACAGCCTAACTTTTCCAAAACACATCTCAATTCCTCCACCACACAGCCCAATCCCTCCACCACACAGCATACTGTCTTTACCATTCAACCTTATTCCTCCACCACAACACCTGTTTCCAACACAGTATAGCTTTTATCCTTTATCACACAGCCTAATATCTCCATCACATAGCCTAATGTCTCCACTATAGCATCTAATGTCTCTACCACATAGCCCAATGTCTCCAATATACTGTATAAAGTCTCCACTATACTGTCTAATGTCTCCATCATACAGATTAATTATTTTAGCACACAACCTAATGTCTCCACCATACAGCCTAATTTCTCCACAACACAGCCTAACTCCTCCATCATGCAGCCTAATGTCTCTACCACACAACCTAACGTTTCCACCACACTTCCTAATTTCTCTATCACAAGGTCTAATATGTCCTCCACACAACTTAATTCCTCAATTACACAGCCTAATGTCTGCACCACACAGCCAAATTCCTCCATTACACAGCCTAATGCCTCCATTACACAGCCTAATGTCTCCACCACACAGTCGAGTTCCTCTATCAAACAACTTAATGTCCCTGCCACACAGCCTAGTTTCTTCACCATACAGCCTATTGTCTCCACCACACAGCCTAATACT